TTTGGCTTTCTATGCTTTCAAATTATTATTAGTATTATTATTAGGCCACATAAATTTAATATATTGATTTTCATAGCATGAAACTTTTAAATAGACCCGGCTGGCCGGCTTTTTTAAAAAACTTTCATATATAAAACTTTTTTAAATTTTTTTTTAAAAACCCTCCCGATTATTAAAACATGTAAAAAAATTTTTTTTTACAAGTTTTCAAATTTTGACCAGGCCGGGTTATGAAAATCAATTAATTAATTTTGCATGGCCTTATTGTTTAAGAACTAAGATTTTTTAAACACATTAATTCATTGATCACATTAATAAATTATTAATTACGTTAATCTTAATAATCAAAATATTTCCCCAAAAGACGTACATTAATATCAACAGAGAATTTTGTGACGCATACCCAAGGATCTGGCCAAAATGCATTTTCATATAAAAAACGGGATAATTCATATACATCAATTTCTAAATCATCATGTTCATCTTATTTTGTTGAACCATTGGATTGGATACTTAGAGGAAAGGAACAAAATGATAAAGAAGAAGGTGAATTAGATGGAAAGATTAAATGTCCAAAATGCAATGCAAAATTGGGAAATTATAGTTGGGCAGGTAAGAAATGGATTATTTACAATTTATTTGATTTAAACATTATTCTCACAATCCACAATAATTGATAGGAATGCAATGTTCTTGCGGTACATGGGTAACACCGTCATTCGCTATTCATCGTGAAAAAGTTGATGAAGTTTATTAATAACTATTTAAATAATCATTGTGGTAGCTTATACTAGGATTTGCTTATACTGGGATTTTAATATAAAATTTTGAATTTTTTTGTTAGTCTTTTCTTAGGATTAGGTTAAGATTTCGGGCAATATTAATAAAAGAGTACAGTCAGACCTCTCCATAGTCCCTCCTTTTTGGTCACATTTACTTATAATCACAAACTTTTAAAACCAACTTGTATAATACTTATAATATCTGACCTTTATATAAGCACAAACTCTTCATAGGCACTAAATTCTTAAAAGCAAGGATGGATTATAGAAAGATTTGACTGTAATGTGGATTGTAGTAGGTATTATCCTTTAAACTGACTTCCAAATTCAGAGTAAAATGGTTCTGAATTTAATTATAAAATGTTTTTGATTTATTTTTTAAAAAAATTATATTTGTATTTGGATTATAAGTAGAATTTAAATTGTTTATAAAATCAAAAATGTAATTTTAAAAAATTTTAATTAAAACTATTTTAAAATTTCTTAATAAATTCTTTAAAATTAGTTTAAGTTTATAGTTTTTATACATTTTACAAATTGAAAAAAAACTTTTATTATTATATATAAAAATTAGAGCTTTTATTTTCAAACATATAAACTTATAAATTTTAAAACAAAATTATACTAAAAATTTTAAATTTAAACTTAATTTTTATTATTTAAATTTTTTTAAATAAATCTAAAAACTTTTTCTAACAAAATGATAAATAAATAGAAAGTATGTAATATTTAAATTTTGATTTTAAAAATAATATTTTTAAAGGCAAATTTTATTAGAAGCAATTTAAGAAGCAGGTTTAAATAGGATAACGCCAAATTCTAGCATAAGCTGTTACAATCTTTGTTTGAAACCCTAACTGCTGAAATTCATTATGAGAGTTTAGGAAAATTCCGTAAAATTTACAATTGTTAAATTGATAATTTGTAGTTTGTTAAAAAACATTATCCATCTTTTAATAAAAAATATTAATTAATTCGAAAACAACACAGAATTTGAAGATATGTACAAGGAATAACTGTTTTTATGTGCGAAAAATTACACGATTTTATTTAACAGGCATTTTATATTAATTATTTGTGCCACTAAAAGCAATAATATCAATTACTCTTTTTTTCAGACAATTTAAGCACATAATGGTTATTTATCTCTTGTGATATCATATAATAAATAGACAATTGCATAACAGCACAACATTAAACTATTCTTTTGAAAACCAAATTATTTTTAAAATTTAAGAATATTAAAAAAGTTTTTTTTATTCATTAACAGACAAATATAAATTTTTTTATTTATTAATAACAATTACTTTCTTTACAATAATAAGTTTTGTATAAATAACAAATAGTGTACTAATTTGTCATCCTATGCAATGTATTGTCATAAGATTTAACACTAAATTTAGATTAACAATATTTATACCTTTAGATAAAAAACTTTTCCTTATAATAGTCATTTTTTGTAAAAAAAAAACTCTTTCTCATAAATCATTTTTTATATAGTAAACAAAAATAACAAATTGCAACTAGACATACTTAGAATATTATAATTAAATAATTAAAAATAACTTGCAACAATAATAACAGACAAAGCTACTAAAGATTAAATAAAGCAGAGAAATAGCTTTCTGCATTTCTGTTCTTTTTACAATTTTATTGCTGACTATGTTAGCAACTAAAATAAAAAATAATATTAATAAAAAGAATAATAACAAAGCACATGTAGCTGAAACTCAAAAGAAAAAACATGACCTGTTTATATATATACTGACAACAACACATAATAGATAAATAAAGTAAAAAATAAAACCAAAAATTAATTATAACATTATTATTCTAGTTCAAACAAATACTAAAAAAAATAACAGAAGAAAATTCTAAGAAAAAAGAAAATTTAAGCTTAACTCCAAATTCTTAAGACATAATATTATTAGTAAAAATAGAAACAATATTGAATTTAATTTTGAATCTATATCAACTAATAGAAAAAAATATTCTTATAGATTTATAAAATAGACAGAACCTAATTCAGAATTTTATTACAACTAATACAATTTTTTTCATACAAGACAAAATAAAGATATAAACAAACTAATTCAATCAGAACCAGTTTCTAGACCCAGCATACATGCAGATAATAATATAAACAAACAAACACCAAATATAAAAATAAATCAAAACACAACAAACATAAATAATAAAAGAAAGAAACATATTTAATAGATATAATATTAGAAAAACAAGTACAAAAAAAGATATTATATAACTAGATAGTTACTAAAAGGTTTCTAAAAAAAAATAAAAAACCTTTAAATAGCTTTAATAGTAACAAAAAAAAAGAATGATGCAAGCATACATAGTTAGTTTTAAAAAAAATTAGACAAGATAGACTAGAGCCTTTTAATATAATAACTTGAACCTATTCAAGAATCAAAAATGCACTAACCTTATATAAGAATATCAAATAACTAATTAGATACAAATTTCTTATTAAACTAACTACAAATTATATTTCAAAAACAATAACAACAAAATTGTTCTATAGAGATACAGTATTTTTTTAAAAGCTTTACATGAATCATTGCAATTAGACTATAGCATTAAACAGAATTTAATAATTTGTTTACAGAGACTCTAGACATCTATAAAAAACAACACAATGTACTAGCAATAAACAAAAAAATCAGAGTCAAATCTTTGAACTACTACAAATTAAACTAGTAACAGATTACCTGTTTAACCTAAACCTCAATTTAATAAATGCATAGGAGATCACAAGATATATTTTCCACTTAACAAAATTTACAAAATTTTATAATAACTAAATTTTAAAACAACTATAAAAATAATATCAAAGCCTGTTAATAAGATGCTAATACTATTATCTTTGGAATCTACTTCAATTTCTAGTTATCTAATAAAAGCTATTTCTTTTAGTTTATCTATCTCAAATCATCAAATCATTGCACCTGTAACCAAGACTCTATATCTAATGTTTTTATTTAATAAAATATCTAAAACATACATTTTAGATAATCATGAATCTTTATCAGATTTATACAAACTTCTAAATAATGAAATATGCAATAGTTTTCTTATTTTAAGCAAAGCAGATTTGCAAAATCTGGCTTGATACAGAGAAAATTTGCAAAAACTTTTATATTTTCTGACAAATTCTATCTAGCTATTTTTAGCTACTAGTATCAAAGAGGTCATTACTTTCTACTTTACAAAATTTAATTTCTAGACTGAAAAAAATTTTCTTTCTTATCTAAAGACCAAAAAGATTTTAAAGAACATGTTAAACTTCTGCAAATGGACTACTTATTTACAAAACTACCAAATAACTACATTATCTTATATAGATAGATACCTTAAAATTCTACAGATTTAAGAATTTCAGATTTTATATTTCTTTTGCAAATTGCAAAATAAGTTAACTTATATATTAAAAAGGTCTATCTATATATAGCATTTCAATACTATTACTAAAAACATATTGTAAATTTAATTACATATACTTTCAAATTTACTAGAAGATGCCAAACTAGTTATAGCAATAAAATTAATATTACTAATATTAACTCTTAAAGAGTTAAGCATTGCAGCCAAAGCATTACATGAATACTACTACTTTCATATTATACTGCAATCTTGGATAAACATTTAGAAAAAACAACCAGAATCTAATACTATTTCAGATAAACTATCTTTAATAATTGAAAAACTACAACTAGTATTAGTTAAAAAAAAATTAATAACATAAATGTTTTTATTAATAAACATCATAATATTCCTTTTGTTTTAGAAACTCTTTGATAATACTTTTTCTATTACATTGTATCAGAATATAAATTCAACCTTATAGACTTATTTAAATCATCTTTTAACATCTTTGAAAATAAAATGATAATTAATACTAGTATGTGACCTGTTGCTTCGCTGATGGTTTATATTATAAAATTATATATTCATTTTTTTAATATTTAATTACTGTGCAATATCTAATCTAACTACTATGCTAACAACCTTGCTATGCTTGAAATCTAACTACTATGTTATATTCAAAATCTATCAACTATACTATATTCAGCTCTAACAACAACAAAAATATTATGCTTAGTTTAACAGTTATGCTATATTTGGTTCTAACAACTATGTTATATCTAGTTCTAACAATTATGCTATATTCAGTTCTAACAATCATATCATATCTAGAACCTAACTACCATCTATGTTCAGTTCTAACAACTGTACTACATCTAGCTCTAACAACCTTGCTACTTCAGCACTAACAACTATGCTATGTTTAACTCTAATATCCAACTCTAACAACTACATTACATCAAATGCTTAACAAACATGCCACATCTAACCTTAATTCTGTAATTACCATGCTATGTTCAGTTCTAACTACTGTATTATATCTAGTTTTAACAACTAACTAATTATCATATGATGTCCAGTTCTAAATATTATACTAAGTTTGCTCTGACTACTATGCTATGTTCATTTAGACAACTGTGTCTGGATACTATATTATGTTCATGCTGGCATTTATTTTCTAACTATTATACTTTGTTTATTATAATTATCATATTATATTAGTTTTGACTATGCATGTTATATTTGTTGTATAGCTGGTAATAGAATTATTGAATTACAGCATTATGCATTTTACCAGATGGAGAATTAATTACGATACAGTACCTGATTGCTGTAAATATGCTGTAATGCTGTATTGCTGTATTGTCATATTGCCATATTGCTGTAATGCTACAGCATTGAAGCAATTCTTGAATGTGTGGCAGGTTTGTAACATAGCAAAATTGTTCTATTAGATCCTCACTTTTGATTAATAGCATTTAAAATATCAATCTAAAAATTTTGACAGCCAATAAGATTTCGAGACCAAGTGTAACGTAAAAGAAGTGCAAAAAATCAAAACAACAAAAAAAACATTTATAGTCCAAAATTTTGCCTATAAAAGTACATTCTGTGTATTAATAAAATATTTTCCTCTAGAAATTTTACTATAACTATGGCCCTTTAAACTAAATACTAACTTACTGATGAGACCCCAATCCTAAACCAATTGCGAAATGTTTTTGACTGGCATTGCTAGTCCCATACTTTTGATTGGCTAATGGGTGTGGATCTGCAAAATTTTGGCACATATTACATAATCATTTACTAATTTCTGGCCAGAATTATTTCTTAACTTTTTTATTTTCAACATAGAAATTTTCAAAAAAATAGATCTACACAATAGTAAAATTAGCTCAGAAACAATTTTAACTTAATGAGTGGCTATGATTTCATTAGTAAAATTTTGAGTAATTCTGGTCAAATTTTTTGATCGTCGCTTTTAGCCAATCAAAATCGAGAATCTGCTAGTTGTGTATACCAAATTTTTTAAAGTTTATATTAACAGTAGAATTAGTGTTTAAAGACTAAATGATTATATAATAAAATGGCTTAAGAAAAAGTTTTTAATAGAGTACTAAAAAGTGGCTCTAGATGCAATTTTGCAATTTTTGATAAAACAAACATTTGTTTTGAAACTTTACTGATGGTATTACGTTACACCTGATTTTTTCATGCTTCAAAAATTGCTTCGATACTATGACATTGCAGCATTATAACATTATTGTCTTAAAATTTTATGGCATTACAACAATACAGTATTACGACACTACAGAATTATAGCAAATAATATGGCATGTGCCATTGTTATACTGATTGCAATTCTTGAATAGGTGCCAGCTTTATGACACAGCAGCAATTCTTTAAATTTCGTTTATGTTAGGGATAGGGTCAGGGTTAGGGTTGGAATCAGAGGAAAGTAGTTTATATAGTAAAATTGTTCAACAAAACTTTTTATTAGAGTAAAGATGATTTCTTATACCGATTTTTGAGAAGTAAGTGACTCCTTGACAAAACAGATGTTTGTTTTGAATTTTCTTGATCGTGCCTGATCTTGAAATCTGATTTGTAGTTCAGAAAATCTGCACTCCAAACCTGGCACACATTCAAGAATTGCAAAACTAATTCTACTATCAACTATAATTTGTTGTACTAAAATTATATATTACACAATCTGTACATGTTACTGTGTAATTTTCGCTATTCAGACTGATCAGGAAGGGTATTTAAATTATTTATACAGGGTAAACTAAATGTGACATATAAGATTTTAATATATTAGATAATACTAGAAATACAAATATTTATAATAAAGAATGTCTTTATGCCAAAAGACTTATAAGTACACATTCTTATAAAACATTCTACAACTAATAAAAGATATAAATAAATTAAACTTATACAAATTTAATATAAATAAAAAAATCAACATTACTACATACAACATTAGAGACATTAATAATATACTAAAAATACAAACCTGAATTAAATACTGTGCTAAATCAAACTTATATTAATCTTTCTTACAGAAACCAAACTAAAAAACTTGATAATAAAGTTGCTAGCTAACCTTTTATACAAAATTTATATCTCAAACTTTATATCATACAAACCAAACTAATATAAAGCTAGTCTAAGAACTGTCTTAATAGTTTGCAATTAATTACAATTATATATTCACAAAATCAATATTTTTCATAAAACAGCTATATGCTTTGATTTCTTTTTTCCTAATAACAACAAATTTTATATCATTTTAATTTACTTTTTTTCAAATTAATTACTTATCTAAATTACAAAAACTAGAACTAAAAATTGGCATCTAATTATACTAGATGACTTCAATACTAATTAATTTAGAGACAAATATTTTTTAATATTTACAAGTCTGAATATTGCCAATCTAACAAGTTTTCTAGTCTTTTATAACATTCAAATACTAATATAGCATAACTCAACTTCTATTAGCCAAATTAATAATTTCTGAATTTTCTAAACATATTACTAGCATTTAAACCTTTATCCATAATTAATGCTTCTTACATCTCAGATAGTAATTATTGCATTCTAGGTACAACCTGGTATACAAACTTTTCATCTTAGAAACAAAAAGAAAAAAATATATATATACTTATTTGAAAAAATAACATCAAAGAATTGAAAAAACTTTGAAGATTCACTTAATATCTGTTTTAATACACAAAATATCCCAATATCAAGTATAAACAAAAATAATATAAACAAAATCTAAAACTTCTAGACAGCAAAAATTAAAGAAAAAATAAATGAACATATTTTATATATCTTTACTGTTTCAAGACCTTTTTTACATTTTTACTAAAAGCAACCAAATTGTATTCTGCTTTGAAAAATATTAACAAATGCTTATAATATCTTTTAAATAACTCCTTAAATGATCTAACTAAAGCAAATTACTACTTATCAAAGGTAGCTACTCTTACAAAAATAAACATTTCACTAATTATACAAGTACAATTAAACTTTTCTCTATTTGATCTTATAATACAAATAAAGCAGTACAAGTACATAATATAGCAAGCATAAAATTTTTAAAAAAGCTAGAACAAAATGAACAAATTAAGTTCTATATAAGCAGAAGATATTAAGTCTTTAAAGATAACACTAGTCATATGATAGATAGCATCTTTAAAAAAAAAGCAGAACCAATAAATTTTGAAAAGATTATACTACCCAATAAGATAATCTCTAACAAAAATAAAATCAAAGAAGCTACATATTTATATTTTAGAAACTAAATCAAAGAAAATTTATCAAACAATACTATCTGAAAAGAATAAAAATCAACATACAATTCACTTAACAATATCAAAAGCAACATCTATAACAACCTTTTGTTCCTGATCACTATATCTGAACTTGAACAAACTATAAAAAAAAATCCTAAAAGAAAGGCAACAGGACTTTTAGAAATTGCAATTAAGATTTTTCAACATCTATCACTATTAGCCCTTCTATTATTATTAAAAATATTTAACAAATACTTAATATAAGAATGCATTTCTAATTAGTAGATACAAGCTAACATTTGGCCAATTTTAAAAAAACAGCACTACAACTATGCACTTAATTTTACATATCTGATAACATTAATTAACTATACTAGAAAAATTTTTATAAAGATTCTAACAATCAAACTAACAAATATTCTAGTTTAAAACTAAGTACTTTTTTTATATAATTTTATAGTCTTTTCTTATCAATCTACATTACAACTAATTTCACAACTTACTTAAATTTTGGAAGATGCAATTACAAATAAAAAAAAACTCTGAATTCTTTTACAAAATATGTTAAAAACTTTTAACTAAATTCATATATCTATTTTATACAAAGCACTCAAAAGAATTCATATATCTGACAAAGCTATATACTTGATATCATACTTGCTTTCATGCTGAACCAACAAAGTAATCACTAGTTTAGGCCTAACTGCATCTTATTCAGTTGAAGATAGCATTGACTAAGAAGAAACCTTCTTATCTCTTTTTTGAAAAATATACTACAATTTACTAATTTTAAGAATATACAAAGAACATTTAAAATTTTTTAGCAAAATTCTTAGTTTATATTCAAAAAAGATATATACTTTAGTAATAGCTTATATAGATAACTTACTTTGGATTGCATCTAACAAAACCTTTTTTACAAATATTTTGCATACTGCTTTATTCTTTTATAAATTCACTAATATAAAGGTTAACCTCTTTTTTTTTTTTTGTTAAAGGCTATACTTTGTAATAATACTTTATTAACTTTTATTGGGTTAGTTATTACAACTATTTTTACAAAGATAAGAGTACAACTAGTTATGCATACAACTTTTAGTTGCCTATTTAAGTAGTCCACTCTAAGGTTCTATACTAAATGCTATATTTATAATCTACTAGGAGATTATTCATTTAAACCTTCTGATTATCTGTCTTGTCATTATGTAACTCCAACTAACCTCCTATATATACCTAACCAGTATACTGTCTAAGCAGTATGATATTTACTCTTTTTGTACTAGTTTCTAGACTATTACATATTTCAAAATACATTACTTGCTAGTAAGGTGCAGAGAGTTCCTATTGTTAACTATCTACCTACTTTTAAAATACTAACAAGGGCTACTCTTATAGAGTTTATTTAGATCCTATTATTGACTTTACAGCATATCCCTAATACTTTTAGTATACTTCTGCTTTAACTTCAAACTCTTAATTCAAATAGCTTGGAAGAACTGTAACATGTTCTTGATATATTGAAGCCAGCTTAATATTCTTTTTTTAGTCTGAAATCTGACAGTCTGTTTAATGGTACCCTTTACTTGAGGTTTTTGCTTACCCAATTTCTTTACATTGGTATCTATTTTCTAGATCTAACCTTTACAGTAGTATCATCAAAGATCCATGTTATCTTTCTGCTCAAAATTTTCAAGAGAGCTCTAACTTTTCAGTTCTATGGATTTATATGACCCAAGAACTTATTTTAGAT